ACGGAGCCGGTCTCGGCCGGGCGCTGCCTTCACAACGCGCCCAGGAGTGTGTCACGTGCGCCGCTCACCCCCAGGAAGGAAGCCCCTTGGCCCGCACTGCGCTAGGCGCCCCTCGCCCACCTACTCCGCTGCACTCTTCCTGCAAACGTTATTTTTGGCGGTAGGACAGAGGTTGCGGGATGAGGGTCGGGCGCAGGGACAACGGTCGCCAGCTCCTGCGATAGTTCCGTTACTCTCCCGCGGCACAAGGTCCTGGGCGCCGCGAGGCTCTTATCCCCGTGGCCGCTGGGGATTGGCTGCCGGCAAGCCCCGCCCCGTGCCCCCGGGCTCTGAGGGGGCGGAGCGCGGAGGGAGAAGGCGCGAAGGCTGGGCGTCGTGACCGCAAGTGGACGCGCGTGGCCCGCGAGGCGAGGTATGACTTGTTCCCAGGTCCCGGGCTGCCGGGCGAGGGTTGGGAGGGAGGGGCGTCGGCAGGCAGCTATGGAAAACGCCCTCGTCCCGATGGACGGGGGAAAGGGGTCGCTGTTCCCGCGGGGACGTCGCTTGCTCGCGCCGGGTGGGAGCGGCCCGCCTAGTCCTTATTTGTGCAGGCGGGGAGCGCCATGTGCAGAACTGTGGCCTCTTTATGGGAAAAGACGCCTGTGCCATTCCTCCGTCCCTTTGAAGCCCTTTAAAAACTTTCTGAGGCCGGGCGCGGTGGCTCACGACTGTAATCCCAGCACTTGGGAGGCCGAGGCCGGCAGATCACCTGAGGTCAAGAGTTCGAGCCCAGCTTGGCCAATATGGTGAAACCCGGTCTCTACTAAAAATACAAAAATTAGCTGGGCGTGGTGGTACGCGCCTATAGTTTCAGCTACTCAGGAGGCTGAGGCAGGAGAATCGCTTGAACCCAGGAGGCAGAGGTTGCAGTGAGCTAAGATTGTGTCATTGCACTCCAGCCTGGGCGACAGAGCGAGACTCTGTCTCAAAAAGCCAAAAAAAAACTTTATGGTTTAGAAAACGAAATTTAAACTTAGTTTGCTGAACAGAAATCTTTTAGTTTAGCAAACTAAATGTGCTGCAGGAGCTGAGCAACACTGAGTCCTCATATGCAAGTCATGGAAACAGAATGATCCCGGCTGTGGATGGCCTCATTTGTGTGGGTGGTGGTTTGTGAGGTTGGAAAGCTGAAGAAATGCGTGCTCATACTGACCGTTCTTGAAAATGCGTATTGACATTTTTTTAAAGCTTTATTGAGATATAATTCACATACCATAAAATTCACCTGTTCTAAGTGTGCACCTCAAGTGTTTTCAGTATATTTGGTGTGTTTATAGTACAACCATCACAACAATCTAATTTTAGAACATCTCCATCACCCCCAAAAGAGATCTCCTGTCAGTTAGCAGTCACTCCTCATTTCCCTCTCTGCCTCCCCAATGCTGGACAGCCACTAATCTACTTTCTGTCTTTACTGATTTGTCTATTCAGAGAGGTGGAATCACGGAATATGTGGCCTTCTTTCCCTTAGCATCATTTTTGAGATGCATCCAGGTTGTATAGCATGTATTACTACTTCATTCCTTTTACATCGCCAAATAATATTCTATTGTATTGCTATACCGCACTTCATTCATTCATCAGTTGATGGATATTTGGATTGTTTTCGCTTTTTGGCTATTACAAGCAACACTACTATGAATATTTGTGGAAAAGTCTTTGTGTGGACACGTATTTGAATTTCTCTTGAAATTACCCAGGTAATCCACTCTTGAATTACCCAGGAGTGGACTTGCTGGGTCATATGGTAATTCTCTGTCTAACTTTTTGAGAGCCTACTAAACTTCCAAAGTGGCTGCACCATTTTACATTCCTACCAGCATTAAGTTAAGGACATGTTTCTTCATGTCCTTAACACTTGTTAGAAATACAGGATGTTACTTGTATCTCTTGCTTTTAGCCACCCTGATTGATATGAAGTGTTATCATTGTGGTTTTGATTTGCACTTTCCTAATGGCCAAAGATGCAGAGCATCTTTTCATGTGCTTATTGGCCATTTGTATATTTTTGGAGAAATATCTAGCAGATCCTTTGCTCACTTTTTAATCGGTTTATTTGTTGTCTTTGTTGGTGAGTCGTAAGAGCACCTTATATATTCTTTAGGTCTTTTTAAAAACACAAATAAAGCCTGGCCAACATGGTGAAACCTCGTCTCTACTAAAAACACAAAAATTAGCCAACGTGGTAGTGCGTGCCTGTAGTCCCAGCAATCTGGGAGGCTGAGGTGGGAGATTCGCTTGAACGTGGGAGGCAGAGGTTGCAGTGAGCCAAGATCGCACCATTGCACTCCAGCCTGGGCGACACAAAAGCAAAAAAACAAAAAGCAACAACAAAAAAAACTACGCAAATAGGATACTTCTCCAGACCAAACAATAGATTGGAAAGAAACTCAGCACTTTGGAATCATACGGTCATATGGTTTGGATTCACAACAAAAACAGGCTTCTCCCATTTGTGAGCATGGGTACTAAGTGATCTTGGCCAGATACTAGGTCATCACCTCTGCACCTCCGGGACTTCATCTGTAACGTGGGTTAACAATGTCTCCCTCTTAGAGTTTGAGTGAGGATTAAATGAGAATGTGTATTAGCTGCTTAGCATAGTTCCCGGCAGGCCCTTAAAGGCATCTTGGACAGATTTATGCTGGGCCTTGACTTGGGAGGTCTCAGTGCCTGTTCTGTTCTAGAAGCCCATAGGCTTTTCCAGGGATTACCAGGAACTGGGACTAACATCGTTTATCTCTGATTTTGCCTACAAACCTCTCTCTCCATTTTTATCCATCCATACCTAAGTCTTTTAATTATCCGAACTACTTTTAGTTCTATTTAGAATTGGTTGCAGCTAAAATGGTTGTTCTCTCCTACAGCTGGGAATAATTTAGAGAAAAGAGTTACTGTTTTATTTTAAAATTTAATGTTTTAATTTATGTTTTCTGTAAAGTACAGGAAAAAAAATCCCTTTAAAATGACTTTAACAGCCTTGTTATCTGTAGAAAGAGAACCAAGGCTTTGGAATCACAGGACTGAGTTACCTCAGTATCTTTTATAATTTTATAAAATCACCTGATATCCTTGAGCTTTGGTTTTCTCATTTGTAAAATGGGAAGATAATACTCACGGAATTGTAGGAAAGTGCCCGTGAAAACCATAAAAATAAACACAATAACTACCATTGAGTTCTTGACACCTGGCAAGTGCTTTAAGTGCAGTCTCTCAGTTCACTGCCATGATCTATGACATGGGTGTTTTGATTCTGATTTGACAGTTGAAATTTGCCCAAGGTCTCTGGACTGGACTCACAGGTGCATCTAACTCCAAAAGTTCTGTTATTTCCACAGGCCAGCCACTGTGCGGCGCTGTGTGTGGTTTTAAAGTTGCTCATGCTATCTGTATTAGTTTTCTATTTGCTTTCATAACAAAATACTACAACCTTAGTGGCTTAAACAACACAAATATTATCCCACAGTTCTGTAAGTCACAAGTCTGTCACACGTCTCAGTGTGCTAAAATCAAGGTTTCGACAGGGCTGTGTTCCTTCTGGAGGCTTTAGTTGGAGAATCCATTTCCCTGCCTTTTCTAGCTTCTAGAGGCTGCCAGCATTCCTTGGCCTGCAGCCCCTTCCTCCATCTTCAAAGCCAACAACAGTAGTCCAGTCCTTCTCATATCACATCACTTTAACTTTGTTTCAGTTGTCACCTCTCTCTCTCTTTTTTTTTTTTTTTTGAGATGTTGTCTCACTCTGTCGCCCAGGCTGGAGTGCAGTGGCCCAATCTTGGCTCACTGAAACCTCTGCCTCCCGAGTTCAAGCAATTCTCCTGCCTCAGCCTCCTGAATAGCTGGGATTACAGGCACCCACCACCACACCCAGCTAATTTTTGTATTTTTGGTAGAGACAGGTTTTCACCATGTTGGCCAGGCTGGTCTCGAACTCCTGACCTCAGGTGGTCCACCCGCCTTGGCCTCCCAAAGTGTTGGGATTACAAGCGTGAGCTACTGTGCCGGGCCTGTTTTGTCAGTTGATGGGCAACCTTAACTCTATCTGCAACCTTGCCATGAATCTAATATATTCACAGATTCTAAGGATTAGGATGTAGACCACTTTTGGTCGGGGGAGGGGGGCATTATTCTGCTTACCACAGTACCTATTCAGTGGTTACATGATGGTGAACTATCCTGGCATTCCTCTAACTGTGGCCGGTTGGCTTTGCAGGAGATCCTGTTGGAAAGCAACTGCAGCATGTAAGTCACTTCCTTTTGCTAATGAACAAGCCTTGCTCCATCCCCCAGCCTTCTCTTTCTCCCATTCCTGTCTCACCATGCCCCAGTCTTAAGACTGGCATCTCTTGCCAGTCAATCCTAACCCTAAGTATACTTTAACTGTTAGTGATTTAAAAGGTCTAGTGAAGGTCTTCCTGGCTTCGAACCTGATTCTGGGAGGAGGAAGGGAAGTCCTTGGTCAGGAAGGGGAATGGAGGTTTATGCAAGGCCCCTCTGGTTATGCCTAGCACATGTTTCCTTTTGTCGGAGTCTGAGCTTGGGAGGCTCGATGCTGACACCTGTGTTTGACAGGTCCTGGAATAGTAGTGACCCCCAACTGTCTGCTAAACTGTTTGGGAAGAATGGAGTGTTGGAAGAGCAGAAATCTCCAGGTAAGTTAGGCTGGGGGATTTGCTGGTGCTGGAACTCTCATCCTACAACTTGGATCCCAGTTAATGGTTCCCAGTCTGCCCAGTTTCTGTTCAGTGTGAAACTTGGGATCTGCCTAAATTCTGCTTTTCCTCCAGTCAGCCACCATGTTTCCTGTCTCATAGTGGATGTGACGCCTGCCACTGCTGCGATGCAGACCCTTACTCCCTAGTGCACCTGCTGCACCTAATCCCGTGCTTCTGTTTCACTTGTGCCTTCTTCCAATTTTCCCTCTACCATCTCCAAAGTGATCTTTCTGAAACCGAAGTCTATTGACACCCCCTAACCGGTTACAGCCCTCACCCATATCACCCAGCCAGTGGAATAAACTGTGACTGCTGTGGTACAACCTTCTGTTATTTCATAGTTTGGCCTCACCTGCCTTTCTAGCCTCCTCTCTCACCACTCATTGCATGCAGTGTGCAATCCACCTGGCACCTAGTCCTGGCTGTGAGCAATTTCCCAAATGTGCTGAGCTTTTTCGTATCTCCATGTCCTGGCATGGGCTGTTCCCTCTGCCTGGATTCCCTTCAGCCTCCCTCCTGCATTCCCCTGGGTCCCTGCATGCTCCCCACTGTCAGCTTAGTGTTAACTCAGGAAGCACAACCCCATGGGTCCTGAAACACTTCATAATTACTTCTCTGATTGCAAGCGCTGAATTCCTGGTGTGCCCATGGCTCTAGGTCCCTGCAGAGTGATCCCCTGCTGGGGGGAAGGCAGGGATATACACGGCCAGCACTTATCATGGACCACTCCTTAATATTGATAAGTATTGCTGAATGATTGGGTACAGTATAGCCATTCAGTGTTCGCGGGGGTTGCGGGATGTTTGTAGGGGTGTATGTGCATGGGAATATTTTAACATTGAAGAAAAAGTGAAGTCAGGTGCAGTGGCTCACGCCTGTAATCCCAGGACTTTGGGTGACTGAGGTAGGAGGATTGCTTGAGCACAGGAATTTGAGACCAGACTGGGCAACATAGAGAGACCCTATCTCTACCAAAAAAAAAAAAAAAAAAAAGCCAGTTATGGTGGCATGTGCCTGTAGTCCCAGTCACTTGTGAGGCTGAGGTGGGAGGATTGTGTAGACCTGGGAGGTCGAGGCTGTAGTGAGCCATGATCATACCACTGCACTCCAGCCTGGGTGACAGAGCATGACTCTGTCTCAAGAAAAAAAAAAAAAAAAGAAAGAAAGAAATACAAAAAGTGACTTACGTGTTCTGACTCCTCTGAATCCTGTAACCGTATGTGTGCCTGCCATTTAACGCTGTTTTTCTTCTTAGGTTTCAAGAAAAGAGAGACAGAGGTGTATGTTGGCAATCTTCCACTGGATATTTCTAAGGTATTCTTCACAATAGGCTGCTTATCTTCCTTGGCCTTCCCATATGACTTAGTAACCTGCCAGTAACTTAATTTCCCCAGTTTTTAAAGACGTTTGAGAGCTATGATAGTGCAGACAGTCACTGGTTGGTGACTAGGGTAACCAATGCATCACAGTTTGCCTCGGACTTTCCCAGTTTTAGCACTGAAATGCTAAACTGGCAACCCGGACAGTTAGTCCCACTCTTTATCCCTGTATACCTGGAGGGTTGGTCAGCCTTCTTGTCACTTTGGGTTGAGGCAGCTTCTTTTTAGGAAGGGACCTTGTTAGGGCTCAGCTGCTGATCCTTTGGTAATGGGGAGTAGTTGGTTTCAGCCAAAAAAAATGACACCTATTTGACTTTGAAATGAGCTGGTTAGGTCAGTGCTGTGTTAGTGGGACTTAGAGAGTAGAATGTAAACAATCGTATTTTTGACCCCAGGCACCTTACTGTCTATTTGGAGAGGCCAGACCAACAAACCTGAAATAATTATAAAACAATATAAGTGCTTAAATTTTGTAGTAAGTATATTTGAAATACAGATGAAAGGAGAATGAAAGTGTGATCTATTGAATTGAAGCACCGCCTGACTTTTTTTTTGGGCATCTACTACATGCAAAATATTGTGCCCCCAGTTTGTCATGCTTAAAGATAAACAGCCTAGTCCTTGCCCTCAAGGAGCTCAATCCTGGAAGAAGGATGAGAGAAACTAACCTTTGTGGATCCCCTGCAGCATGCCAGACATTTTTCACAATTTTCTTGTCTCCATTTTCCCTTGCTAACCAGTTCCACTCAATCATCTCCGCCCAGTTGTACTTTATTCTTTTACACTATTTACTATATTTTAACTGTCAGGCATGCTCTAGGAAGTAAGCTAAATGCTTTATTCATGTGATTTTATTAAATTATTATTGTAACTCTGGTTGGTGGTAATGCCCCCATCTTGGAGATGAGACAGCCAAGGCTCTGAGAGGTCACGTCCCTCAGCTAAGTACACAGACCTAGTGAGTGGTCAGCCAGGAGTGGAATCCAGGTTCGGTTGCTCCCAAGTCCCATGTTCTTTGCTTTGTGCCAAATCATGTAACCGATAAGATATGGCAATAACTCACCAAATAAAAGATGGACCATTATGTTTTGTCTGACAGAGAGAAGAAAATGGTATTGGAGCATAGTAAGTCATTGTGATCCAATAAATGAAATCATGTTCAATCAAAGGGGCAGGCTGGGGGATTCTTGGCACCTGATAGATGAGCCTACTGGGGCTGGTTCTTCTCCCCCGTTTTGGCAGGCTACTTCAACCTGTTATTTGACAGTGCAGTGGGCAGAGGAGCCCTACATGTGGGTCCTGCAGTGGTCGGGGGAGGTAAGATGCTGAGTAGTCCTGCCACCTCTCTCTTCCCCCCTACCCAGTAGACCCCATTCCAGAGCCCGGCACCTGGGGCTTGCTTGGCCATACTGTCCCACACCATGGTAAGGGAACGTTTCATCCTCATCCCCTTCACAGAAAGCAGCAGCCCTCCCCGTAGGGCCTTCTTTCGATTCAAACTTGGACCAGCCTCATAAGAGAGATTTGAGTTGTGCTTTAGAGAAGGAGTAGGGTTTTAAAAAGAAATTTCTAGACCAGGCATGGTAGTTTACAGCTATAATCCCAGTACTTTGGGAGGCTGAGGCAGAAGGATCACTTGAGCCCAAGGAGTTCAAGACCAGCCTAGGCAACATAGTGAGACCACGTCTCTTAAAACAAAAAAAGAAAAGAGAAAAAGAAATTTCTAATGATAACATTAATGCCGTGTCAAGAACTGTGAAACGAGCCGAGTGTGGTGGTTCACACCTGTAATCCCAGCACTTTGGGAGGCCGAGGCGGGCGGATCACAAGGTCAGGAGATCAAGACCATCCTGGCTAACACGCTGAAACCCTGCCTCTACTAAAAATACAAAAAATTAGCCGGGCGTGGTGGCGGGCGCCTGTAGTCCCAGCTACTCGGGAGGCTGAGGCAGGAGAATG